ATAGTGTGTAAGTCTGTGGGAAACACTGGATTACAATACTGAAGACAAAGACAGTGTCTTCCTGCTAGTACAAATCTATATGTGTGTGTGCGATTATCCCATAAAACATTTATTGTTATACAGTCTGAAATATTCATGGCTCTGGAGTCCTGACAGTTCGGCAGCCGTATGAAACAGATCCGCCTCAGGACCTGAGCGCTGCATACTGGGGCTGCTATGGAAACTAGGGACGGTTTAGTGTGTGTGTGGTGTTGTAGTTAACGTTCTTTGGACCTTCTGTGTTAAAAGGATCTCTGGTTTAGTCGGTGAGGGAATAGTCAACTATCTTTATCCAGAAACACAGGAATTTAATAAAGCATCTTCCCTGCTATGTGTTTGGAATTAATACTTATTAAATTAATAGAAATATTGCGATATTATTATTATTACTATTGTTATTAATATTGATGATGATACAACTTTTTGAAGATTTGTGTCTGTCTATATATATATTAATAATAACTCATTTTTAAATTATTTTCAAGAAAGATCTTAAATATTATTTTATTTATATATGTATTATTGTTGCATTGTTTTATAATAATAATAATTTATTATTAAAAAATGCAAATATTTTAAATAATAAATATTTTTTATATATTTATTATTGTTAGATATTTTTATATATTAATAATAATTATAATAATATGTATGTTTTTATTGTTGCATTCTATTGGTTAAAGAATAAATAAAAACCTATATTTTAACTTAAAATATTGCTTTAACCATTAAAAATGGTCATAAAGAGGCCATATTGGTTGCAGTCTTTGCTCTGAACCCAGGGTTGATCTCTCCCCCTCATCTATTTATAGCTTTTGCTCTGTGTAAATTACTGGAATCAGGCAGGAGAAAATTACAGCATTCCGTCTGATATTCCTGATGTTCTGGGCTGTGGAAATGGAGGACAGAATGTGTAGTATTTCCTCTGTGAAGCGTGCCATAATGTGTGTTTGCGTTCTCTGTGTTGTTCTGTGCTTTAATCTGATGCCGACTCAGCACTGGGCGTCAGGATTAGTTTGGCTTGCTCTGGAGTAGGGATGTGTCACGATTTTCGAATATTCGATTAGTTGATTTAATTCTAGAATATCGAATAGGTTGTGCGATTATTGTCTTAAAAAATGTTCCCATGTTTTCCATGCTGATGCGGTGGTGACGCGTTCATGTGGCGCTGCCAATAACGCACCTAAAAGCTGTCAAAGACAACAGATGAACACATTGTCTCACGCGCACACTGTAGACTTGCGTGGCATAAAAAAAAAGACTTGCGTAGCATATAATGGTTACAGTAATTTGGGACGATGTCAAATAAGAGCTCTGTGTGGACCACAAACACCCCCGACTGGGTTAGAGGTGAATAACGCGTTCTACGGAGCCACTAAAGGGCCATGGTTAGCCGCTTGCTAACGTTAATCTGTTACATTACAGTACATAACATTTCACTTACCACATAAACAGAGTAAGGAGAGATGACTGATAGGATGATGGCGAATGATTTGCAGATCCTGAGCACCACTGACAAACATCTAATCTTGTCAAATGTGTGGTAAGTACTGCCGAGTGCTGCTCCGTACATGTGATCGCGGATCTCGAAAGTGAAAGTAAAAAACAAGCGCGCGTTGATATTTCAATGCCCGCATATTAATAACGACTCCTTGATGTCCGCAGTTAACATACAGTTTAATTACCCAACGATATAATTGCGACAGAAGATATTGAAGTATATTTTTCCTCCCATCTCGTATCTATTCCCTTTAGGGATTACATTTTTTGAAATGGATATGTCCTAGCCTTATGAGCAGTTGATTTATGCTAATCGACGGACTGTTATGTTAATAAGTGCTGTCATTCAGTTATTTTTATTATATTAATATGTTTCAGCACGTTATGATCATTATATGGCTTGAGTTAATAGCCTATCTTCTGAATTAAACAGTTTATCATACAGATTGAAAGCGTGAATCCCGTCTCTCTCCATCTCTCTCTCTGTTTATGGGGTGTTTGTGCGTGCATGTGGGGAGGGGTGCGATTTTCAAATAATAATTGAATAATACCTAGCGATTTTTTAATATTATTTTTGCTTGGAATGCCCATTCCTACTCTGGACTTCTCAGAGTTCTCTGACATCTGCGTGACATTAGTCATGATAATAGTGCTTTTATCAGCCGCTCGTGAGGGGAAAGTTTGAGTTTGTTTAGAGCCGTTTAGATCTTAGTTTATGGTTGTTTTACAGCATCAGTTATGCTTTGTTGTCAAACCTTGTTGCAGAGTCATATGTTGTGATGTCAGAATCATAATGATTTCTGAATGACTTGTTTGTGCAGTTTAGTTTCAGCGTGTGTGTAAATAAGACTAGGTCGGCCACACACGAGTTTAGCACACATGCCAAACAAACTGTACAGTTACCATGGAAATAAAAGTATTTTTATGTACTGTATACACTTTTCAGTTTCATGAAGCCAAACCAAACATCTGAAGGAGCTTTATTTGCTCACATGGAATTTGTTTTGGTTTTCAGGAGCTCTGAGCACTTGCATAAATATGCAAGAAGATGCATAACAAGTAGCTTCGGCCACCCACTCACAGTCCGCACGCTAAACGTCGGATGCATTTTACATGAAAAACCGGGAATTGCTTTCTTGATCTAGTAAACGTTGCTCTGATTGGCTGCATTTACTCAGTTTTTTTTCCTTCAGTCTGTCTGGAAACAAAGTCACGTTGACAAAATAGTGTTAGTTAGTCTGCCAGTTTTTTTGTTGTTGTTTTGTTTAATCAAGAATCGTTGTTTTATAAATCAGTCATAACTTAATATTTTTCAAATAAAACCATATCGTATCTGATCAGCAACTTTATGTCTGTTATGAGACTGTTATGACTCGTAGAAAATAATGTATAAAATGCTTGCAAAGTTTCATTCTCTTACTAAAAACTATGCTGTTTTTAGACATTATGTATCTCTTCTGGGTCAGAATGGACCTGAACTCAACACTGAGTTTAACCCTGAACATGTCTATAATTTTCTCCTTTTTGTTTTTTTTGTTTTTGTTGAAGAAAATATAGTTTGGGCTCCTCCTCAATGCATCCTATAAATGTTGTGATATGTCTTGCACACATTTTTTCTTCATTTGTAACATGAAATTTATGATGGTGTTGAATTTTATCTTTAGCTCCTTGTATTTTTTCTTATGTAGACAACAGGTTAAGTAAAGCTCTGAATATAGAGCATAAATTTAGCAAAATACTCTTCTTTATAGTTATTTTTTTTCCAGCTGACTGATGAGCTTATGGATGCCGAATGGTTATTGTGAGGTAAATGTATTGTTACGTGGCATTGATTACAATTTACAAGTAGGCTTGCTGCGATAGATGGTGTTTTCGGTTATATCGGTGTTAAGCCGCAACTCCGGATACGTCAGTTGCCTACCGCGGCACCGCCCCCCTCCGTCGTTTGGATTTTTTTATAGTAACAAAAATCATTTAGCCTAGTTCAGTTAGAGGACACACTTTTAAAAACTAAACGCTCAATGCAGCGTGCCGAACCATGCGCGAATGACAGTGCACCACGGAGCAGGAGTCAGATTTTATTTATCACGTGAGGAAAGTGAGTCGAGCTGACTGACAAGGGTGAGGTGAGAAAGACAAGACAATGGCAAAAGATTGTTTAGAAAGGAAATGCAAAGGCTCCTGTTTGGCAATATTTTAGATTTTGAAAAGCCTATTGACTGGAGTATTACCGGTGTTGTCACGCGTCGATTAACCGGTGGGAAAATTTCCTCACCGTCACAACCCTACTTACAAGCTTTCTTTCTTCTGTTGAACACAGAACGTTACATTTACTTTTCTTTACTTTACATGTTTTCCGCAGTTTGAAACACTGAATGAGCGATTTCATGAGACATTTCAGGAAGTTGTACTGTAGGCCATTTTATAATATAGCTTTTGATGTTCATTCATGTTTATTTTGTACTACAGTAGTAAAGAGAAAGATCTGATGGGTTCACGTGCCACTTGAACTGTAAAGCGATTGCTCATGCCACATTAAAGAGTGCCAAAACTGTATTTATTGTTTGAAATTCATTATGAATTTGGCAGAATTTTAAAGCTGATACTTTATTAAGGTAACAGAGCACAAAGCGTATTGCGATTATTGTTCAGATAATATGAACTTCACACATTAACAGAGCACAGCATTTAGACTAAAGACTAAAGAAGCCATATCAGTATTGATTGTAAACGAGAATTGTTATGATATTGTTAATGTCCACACAGCTGACAGCTTTACCTGTTGTAATCTGTTCAAGTTGTGCACGAAATTGACACTGCTTTTCTACACTTACTTCGCACATCTCCGTCATTTTCGATTTCTCTCGTGCTGCACAACCGGAGCTGCTGCTTTCAGCAGGTGTGCCATCAACGCTGCTGTTCGGCGGCGATAAGGACTCTTTTTCCACTAAAACTTTGATGCACATCATCTCAGTTTATTACATCAACATAACAAATCATGTGATCACAAAACAAAGAGGAAAAAAGGCATTACATGCACATTTTAAAATCATAACATGTACATTTATATAATATGTGGCCAGTGGCGATCTCAGCAGAAACTTCGCTCGCAAATAAATATTTTTGGTCGCAAATGCCACCGTTTTAGGCACAGTCTGGAGCCCTGTATAATCAGAGTTTCATGTGTTTAATAATGTTTAAAGTGTTTAATGATGCTGATGAAAAAAAGGTCATCAACAAATATTTTTCATCATAGTTTTCATTAACAAAATTAACACACTTAAAAAGTACCAGGTTGATGCATAATGTCAGACAATCAGGTTAAAAGCTTAATAGTACAAGTAAACAAGCGTACAAAAAACCTTTATACAGGTGTGTGCAAATTGTGTAAAATAATATTCAGGTGAAATATCCTAAACATACAAATACTTAAAGGCTGTTTCCTCTCTGTTTTTTTGCAGGATCCATCAGTGACACAAGTAACGCAGACTGCCCCGCCTGGCCTGGAGCAGTATAACCCTTTCACAGACACAAAGCCGGTGAGACGCCCAGGACAGAGACAGACTGACTCTTATATGAGACTTACTATGTATAAAATATGTATAAAACGTACTATGTATAAAATTAACAAATGTACAGGTTTTCTAAGGACAATAATAATTAGAACGGCTCGAAAATACCATCCGCCAACACACTCTGGGGAGTGTGGGAGGGAGGGAGGCTGGCTGGCTGTACCAGTGTTATTTTGGTACTATTGAGATACTATTATAGTTTGTATTAATATTTTAAAGTAATTTTTATTTTTAAGTTTTCTTTTCATTTTAATCACAAAGCGTATTGCGATTATTGTTCAGATAATATGAACTTCACACATTAACAGAGCACAGCATTTAGACTAAAGACTAAAGAAGCCATATCAGTATTGATTGTAAACGAGAATTGTTATGATATTGTTAATGTCCACACAGCTGACAGCTTTACCTGTTGTAATCTGTTCAAGTTGTGCACGAAATTGACACTGCTTTTCTACACTTACTTCGCACATCTCCGTCATTTTCGATTTCTCTCGTGCTGCACAACCGGAGCTGCTGCTTTCAGCAGGTGTGCCATCAACGCTGCTGTTCGGCGGCGATAAGGACTCTTTTTCCACTAAAACTTTGATGCACATCATCTCGGTTTATTACATCAACATAACAAATCATGTGATCACAAAACAAAGAGGAAAAAAGGCATTACATGCACATTTTTAAATCATAACATGTACATTTATATAATATGTGGCCAGTGGCGATCTCAGCAGAAACTTCGCTCGCAAATAAATATTTTTGGTCGCAAATGCCACCGTTTTAGGCACAGTCTGGAGCCCTGTATAATCAGAGTTTCATGTGTTTAATAATGTTTAAAGTGTTTAATGATGCTGATGAAAAAAAGGTCATCAACAAATATTTTTCATCATAGTTTTCATTAACAAAATTAACACACTTAAAAAGTACCAGGTTGATGCATAATGTCAGACAATCAGGTTAAAAGCTTAATAGTACAAGTAAACAAGCGTACAAAAAACCTTTATACAGGTGTGTGCAAATTGTGTAAAATAATATTCAGGTGAAATATCCTAAACATACAAATACTTAAAGGCTGTTTCCTCTCTGTTTTTTTGCAGGATCCATCAGTGACACAAGTAACGCAGACTGCCCCGCCTGGCCTGGAGCAGTATAACCCTTTCACAGACACAAAGCCGGTGAGACGCCCAGGACAGAGACAGACTGACTCTTATATGAGACTTACTATGTATAAAATATGTATAAAACGTACTATGTATAAAATTAACAAATGTACAGGTTTTCTAAGGACAATAATAATTAGAACGGCTCGAAAATACCATCCGCCAACACACTCTGGGGAGTGTGGGAGGGAGGGAGGCTGGCTGGCTGTACCAGTGTTATTTTGGTACTATTGAGATACTATTATAGTTTGTATTAATATTTTAAAGTAATTTTTATTTTTAAGTTTTCTTTTCATTTTAATGGAAGTTTTAGTAATTGTGATGTTTTTGAAATTATTATTACTAATTTAAAAATATTTCTATATAATTTTATTATTTTTTGTTGTTTTATTTATTTTAGTACATCAAGTGAAACTAACTGAAAATGAGAAATATCTGAAATAAGTTTTTAATTTATTTCAATTAACAGTTATTTAATTTCAAGTTACAAATGTTTTTATGGTTTTAGTTAACTATAATAACACTGTTACATACATAGTAAATACTTTATTGTATGTAATCAAACAGTGAGGTAGTGGCTGACGTTAATTTCCTTCATCACGCTGGTAATGGAAGGTCAAGGTGAGTACATTGCATTGTGGGATGCAGTATTCCATGCAGTGTGCTCTGTTTTATACTGCACATTTTGGCAAATGTTGTAGGTCATCCAAATGTGTGTATAGAGTGCACTGCATACATTCAGATTTAGTATGAGTAGGATGTTTCTTTCTGAACAAGAGAGAGATGCAGGCAAGGAAACAAACATCATACATACAGTACCAACAAATAACATCATTCACAGTGTGGTATAACTAGTGAAGCTGTACCATCGTATGGCTCGCTGCCCAGAACAGCCCACACTTACAGCACAAACCAGTCAGATTTTGTGCCATTCAGTCGACTGAAGGCATTTGTTAAATTTTTTTCCTTTCCTTAATTGTGCACATAAATTGCTTTATTTCTGGATGATCCAGAACATTCGAAACATAGTCAAACACATCCAGTCAGTCTGGATTTATGAATGAAAAGAAAAGATGTTATGTTGTTATTGTGTTGCAGATGTGGTGAAATCGTGAGGTGTTTTGCACGACAATGTCTCATGTTTTATTTTGTGGCATTATAGGTCCCGCCAGGCTCCGCCCCTAAATCAGTCCCACCCACAGCAAACACACAGCCAGCCATCATGAAACCCACCGAAGAACCGCCAGCCTACACTCAACCTCAACAGACACAGGTACATGCATCTCACTTCATTCTCTATTTAATGCACTTAAAATGAAAGTATAGCAGCCAAAAAGTAGAAAAGGTTCTGGTAAAAAGTTGTCTAAATCGTCCATTTGACATTGCACTAATGTTCTCAGGGGATGAACAGTGCTTTATAGATGGCTGCATCATGTCCCTTTCTGATATTACAATATTTTGGTTAAGGCTGCATGATTTGGGGGGAGGGATTTTAT